CCATATTAATATCAAAATTCGTATGTGAGTATCTTGGATTGAGATTCTAAAATAATATATAAACAACGACAAGGAGTCTTAATTAGTCCAAATTAAATTTCAGAAATTAGCAATCGATACATATTGTATAAGAGACTATATACAAATAAGATCTTATAGTAAATTTCATGACATCCAAAGTGTCAACTTTTAATTGAGATGAAGAAATTTATCCAATAATGAAGTATATGTAGAAAGAAACTCTAACTAAGATGTCCTCATCTGAACAACGTGGATTCATATAAGATAGAAAAAATTGTACATGGGACGTGGTATACCTTTGTGACATAGTTTATGATTAGAGAATTCAAACATTATAAGTGAATGTGGCAAGTATTGAGAATTTTCAATATATAGACACACCACATACTCACTTATCAATACAAAATATAATAAATTTAGAAGGTCTAAAATAGTTTAAACATATAGATAAATTGAATTTATATCAACGATAAAATAAAACTCTCCGGCCAACGGGCCGGGTAAAAAGCTAGTATGTAGTGTATCATGAACGGTTCTATCCTCAGTTCACCAACAGTTTTGTAACGGTTAACCACTGAACTCTAAACCACTAACTTTTTTGGTTCAGCCTCCAATCCGACTTTGAAAACAGAGGTTTACACTAATTTACAACTTTATTATAGCTAAAATATGATGTAATAAAAACAAAATTCTTAAGAATTTGACTAATAGTACAACTGTACAAATAATTTAGGTAAGAACGGGTCGAGAATGGTATTGATAAGAGCAAGTCGGATCGATGAGAATACCCATGCCCGTCCCGCTTATGAGACGGATCGGACCACCCAAAAGAGACCAAACAAATGGGTGGGGTAAAACTATAGGTGTCAAAACATAGCCCGACCCGATTAACTCGCCCGATCAACCCGACCAGCAACCCGACCGCAACCCGAATTGACTAAAAGTCAACAACCCGTAACCCGCCCGACCCGCAACCCGATTGACCCGCAACCCAACTAACCCGCAACCCAACTGACCCGCAACCCAATTAACCCGAACCCGATTGACCCGAAGCTGACTAACCCGTAACCCGACCGACTCAACCCTAAATTCATCTAATCCACTTGAATAATTATAAAAATATACAATACATAGTTTTTCAAAATAAAGTTTTTCATTCTAAACTTAAGTAAAATTATTTTTTCATTTCGTATAGGAAATTTAAAAAATATGAAACTCACTTGATATTACGTATTTTAAGAAAATTACAAAAATTGAAACATGAAGGTCACTCGAGATCATGACAATATTAATATAATATATAAATTAAAGTTTTGGTTAATTTAACTATTCAATAAAATTATCAATTAAATATAAATAAAGTAAAGTAATGTATTTGGTAATTTGATGTTTTTAAATGAAGAGAGAAATTTTGGTGTATTCAAGTTTTTGGGAAGAAAAAGAAGAGGGAAATTTGGTTCTTTGAATTTTTTAGAAAAGAAACAAGTGAGAATTTTGGTGGTTTTGATATGTGGGAAGAGAAAGAAGTGGGAAAGTTTGATTCTTTTGATTATGAAAGAGAAATAAGGAGGGAAACTTTTGAGTTTTCAACTTTTTGTAGAAGGAAAGAAGATGAGATTTTTCCAGAAATAGCACTGTTTAAAAAAAAAATTCCAAAAATAGCACCCTACTCCGAAAAATTCCAAAAATAGCACATTTTTTGTAAAACCGCAACCCGGAGGTGCGTTTTTCGATGAAAACGCCACCCGAGGGCGCGTTTTTCGATGAAAACCGCACTGGTAGGGAGCGGTTTTGCAAACCGCACCCCCAGGGTGCGATCTGCTTTTTTTTTTTTTTTGCAAACCGCACCCCCAGGGTGCTATCTGCCTTTTTTTTTTTTGAAAAATCCTAATTTAGGTGGAAACTTCAAACGAACGTATCTTTATGTTCGGGTATCCGATCGTCGCGATTTTTTTTTTGATTCCGCATAACTTTTTGAGATCTTGCAAGCCGAAGACTGCCAAATGTGGTTTGGTCTCGCCTTCGTACCAAAAAATGTCGTTTGCTACCCCGAACGAGCTTTTTTCCGATTTCGTCAAACTTTGGACAACCGTAACTTTGTGCTCCAAATCCAAACGGCATAATTTTTTTTATTTCGCATAACTTTTTAAGGACTATAATTTATGTGAAATAAAAAAAAAATCATGCCGTTTGGATTTATGCGAAAACGGCATGATTTTTTTTTTATTTAGCATAACTTTTTAAGGACTATTTCACATAAAAAAATTATGTGAAATAAAAAAAAAAATCATGCCGTTTGGATTTTGGAGCACAAAGTTATGGTTGTCCAAAGTTTGACGAAATCAGAAAAAAGTTCGTTCAGGGTAGCAAACGACATTTTTTGGGACGAAGGCGAGACCAAACCACCTTTGGCAGTCTTCGGCTTGCAAGATTTCAAAAAGTTATGCGGAATAAAAAAAAAAAATCGCGCCGATCGGATACCCGAACATAAAGATACGTCTGTTTGAAGTTTCCACCTAAATTAGGATTTTTCAAAAAAAAAAAAAAAGGCAGATCGCACCCTGGGGGTGCGGTTTGCAAAAAAAAAAAAAAAAAGGCAGATCGCACCCTGGGGGTGCCGTTTGCAAAACCGCTCCGTACCAGTGCGGTTTTCATCGAAAAACGCGCCCTCGGGTGGCGTTTTCATCGAAAAACGCACCTCCGGGTTGCGGTTTTACAAAAATGGTGCTATTTTTGGAATTTTTCGGAGTTGGGTGCTATTTTTGGAATTTTTTTTTTAAACAGTGCTATTTCTGGAAAAATCTCAAAGAAGAGGGCAATTTGGTTCTTTCAATTTTATGGAAGAGAAATAGGAGGGAAAATTGAGTTTTCTAATGTATGGAAGTAGAAAGAAGGAGGGAAATTTTAGTATTTTTGTGAAAAGAAAGAAGGAAACAAATTTGGTGTTTTCAATTTTTTGGTTTTTCATACTTTTAGCTTTTGAAATATGAATTTTTAACTTTTATATGGAGGGCATGACTAGTTGAAAGAAAGAAACCCACCGCATGCCCGTGTATTGTACACGCAGACACCTTTTACTGTACAACGTGACTGAGATTTACTGTTTCAAACTGGCGTGGGCTGGCGTGTGGGCTGTTGTTGGGTGAGGCCTCATTGGGATCTAACGGAGTTTGGGGGCTCGGTCGGGGTGGGACTGGTCGTTAGCTTCTGGTTGGCCTTAGTTGGGGTCGTTTGGTGGCCCGGACGCGCGTTGGTCATCAGAGATCTATATGTTGCTTTGGCCCTAGCGGGTGCGCGTATCGAGGCTTAATCAGTTGCTTTGGGTGTTCTGCTCAGTGGAGAAAACAACTAACACTGTATATCTAGAAACCTTTTCACTGCTCATTTACACCTAATTTTCCTGTTCACTCTCATCTGATTGGCTGTTGGGATGTGGTGGGCCCTCAGTGTCCTCCTGCCGTCGTTTGGGTGTTCTCTTTCTTGCATTTGTTTGGAGAGATCTAGAGCACGTTCAGAGGAAAATCGCGTTGGTCACAGCGAAACTTTGTGGGGCTAATGATTTTTTGGGTTCTTCGCCTGTGAGATAGAGAGTTCTTTTGTGGATGCTCTGCGGAATGGGGATTTCTGTAGCCGTTTCGTCCCATCAATGGCTTTGGGTGGGAGATGGTGACTGATTGACGCAGGCTTTTCATCTGGCAGAGAAAGGAGAGGAAGATCAGTGAGACTGCGAGTGGAGAATGGAAATATTAGAAAGGGAAAATTCACAACTCTTTTTCTCCACCACATATTCAACCTAACTCTTCAACTCCACTATGTTTCTTTTTCCTCACTCGGCGCTGGGGAAGGAGAGGGGCAGGGTGTGGGGAGAGTTTATTGTGCGGTTGGGGAAGGAAAATTATTGGGGGTGGATTTCTTACCAAAATGTTTCCTCCTCAGAAAGATCTCATTAAATGGTTGGAGCAAGAAGGGAGTGAGCTCTGCGTTGTCCACGGTGGGAAACTGAACAGCGGATTCAAGTGGTCATTGCAAGCGGTCACCTAGGAATGGCCGAGAATCCATCTCTGACGTGGAGAGAACGCGGAGAAGACCTAGAATCGCCAGATCTGCTGCACCTATCTGATTGTTGATCGGGGTTGGACAATACCCACGACCTGGGAAGACGAAGTCCACGACAAAGGGAAACCAGATTTGCGAACCATGCCGTTGAAAGGTGAGGTTTTGATGGTTTTGCTTTATCTTTTTTCTGTGGTGCTTAGTTTTTTTCAGCTTTGTAATTCTTTTTCTTCTCTTTTCCAAAGAAATGCAGGCGACCAGTTCTTGACAGAGATTTCGTTGGTCGGGGGTGGTTGTTGAATCCCAGTTAGAGGCCAATTAATGGAGAGGATTGCTTGGATTTGAAGGGCAATCGATCGAGAAACCCAAAGTGAATCATAATAGCCTCCGAAAATGGATTCCGGGTGAGATTTCTCGCTATCTCTCATCCATCGCTGTTGAGTAACTCTATATCTTACTCTGGTTCTTCTCTGTTTTCCTTTTTCGGCAGTGTTTATGAAGCAATCTCCTCATTGTGTGTGCGGTCAATTAAGCCAGTAAGGTCGCCTTTGCTAGAGCAAGAAGTAATTGGTTCTTTACTGATTTCTCGCTCTTATTTATCCGAATTAGTTTGTCTAACCAGTTAATGCATGATGGGAAAGCAGATTCGGATGCCACTCAGAGTTATCAGTTTCCGTATGTGAGCGGTTCTGCGTGGGTTTGGAAAAGATCCAGATCCAAACTTTCTTATTGCCATTGCCTTCTGGTTCAGGTGATTGTTCTATCTGCCTCTTGGATGAGTTTCTACTCTTTCCTATGAATTTTTTCCCCTCTGTTTCTTCAATGGCGGGCATATTCGTTGGTTTTGATGTCACAGGTGTAGCAGAAACAACATTACTGGATACAAATGTTAGTTTTGGAGCTGATTCGATATCTCTGACATAATAGTTGTAGTCCAAATGCCAAGTTTTCTTCTTTTGTAAAGGAATCTATCATGTCCCTTCCCCTGATTTCTCCTATCTGTCGCTCTAAGATGAGTGGAACCCTTGGTCAATGGATTTGAAGGGTACAGAGAGGGCTGCAAGAAGATGCAGATCAACGTATTGCCATTTTGCATTAGGTAATTGTTTCTTAATGATTGAGTTTGCCTTGCCTTCATGAATCTCATCTTTTCTTTGCTATTGACGACCACAATTTGACTTCAACTCTGTGATTTTTTCAGCTGTCTTCTTAGACTACATCGAAGGTGGTTGGGTGTTTGGAACAAGGAATGAACACATGTGTACGCTGGATTATCCCATGCTGATGGATTTTTAATCTTGCCATCCACTTTTTTGTATTGTCTTTAGCCCATTGCGGTTGCAGTAGGTTGCATTCGGGTTTCGGGTAATGATATTCTTCTTTTGTGTTGTTTGTGTGCTTTCGCTTCTCTTAATGTTAAGCATAGTGTTCGTTTGTGGATTAGGAGATGAAGTTATTCGTCTGTCCGTTTGGCTGATAGTGTCTTTTTTCCCATTAATGCACCGACGAGAAAATTTGGTCTTCTGCAGTGGCCTTTCATAGGATTATGACAACAAATTTTTATTGTATAGCTGTTGGCTGCAGAATGATCAAATCAATACCAGCAAGCCTTCAAACTACTATTCACCCTCATATTTTGTTTTCCCTTACAACTAACCGGTGTTCTTGGTGTGGCAATGATTGAAAATGTGATTCAAGCCCTGCATAATTGTAAAATGTGTACTTTGTGAAAGCATTCAAGAGACAAGTGTCAGACCAAAATATTTTCAGTACAGGTTTTTTTACCACTTTTTGTGGGGAACTTTGTTCAAAAGTATCTGTAGATTGATTAGAAGTTTGGCGATAAATTTTGCTTTTGAGGGATCCCCCTGTAATATTTATTGTTGATCAGTTTTCCCTAAAATATTCTTTACTTGGTTGGTTTGCGAAGTTCTTGGGTAGGGAAGCTTCAATATTTTAACTTATTTGTCTTAAGCGGTTCGATGTAGTCTGTGCTACAACTGTAATTTGCAACAGATTATAGTTGAATGTGTTTTTGTATGCGCTTTTTGATATTTGAAGAATTCTTTTTTTCCTTTGTAAGGGTAAATTGATTAAATTATTAAGAAAGAATCAGAGTACCATGGAAAAAAAGACGAATAAGGGAGAGCAGAGGGGGTGGGGGAAAGCCCTCTGCAACAAGTACTACAAACATGAACATACGCCCACCGCTCCAAGAAAGATGATATATTCGGATCGTACAACATTTTTTTTTTTTGTGTTTGCACAAATTATTAGAGATCCATATTCATAATATGTAATATGTTAATGCTCATGCATTCGTATTCTAGGTGATTGGAAGTTCAAACTTTAAATCTACATTTCTTCAAATTATCAGTTTTGCTTTATGAAATATTCAGACTCAATATTAATTCAATGAGAACTATATGTGAACTCCTACTTTTTACTATTTATTTATAACTTCTTTTTTTTGGATATTGATTTGCAAGCATGAAACATGAAATGCAACTTGTCTATTTTGCGATTGTATCTCAAATCCCGACGCGTAGCGCGGGTAGGAAATACTAGTTAAAATTATTCTTATATGCTTTGAAGGCTAATATATATATACTAAACTTGATAAGTAATCTTTGACGGTTCGTTGTTTAGGATATAAAGTATATGGTTAGGGTATAGGGTATAAGGTACATATGGTTTAGGGTGTATATGGCTAGGGTATAAGGTATGTTGTTAGGGTACAAGGTATGTGGTGTAAAGTATAGGGTATATGGTTAGGGTATAACAATTAGCAAATATCACTTTTTATCTATGTTTTGAAAATCAAAGTATGAATTTCACTTTTAAATTAACTATACTAGCAAAATCACAACTCAAAGACATATGGTTAGGGTATAGGGTATAGGCTATGTGGTTAGTGTATAATGTATTGATGGTTTAGGGTATACAATCAACAACATATACTAACTTAATATTGTTGATTGAGGGTAAGGCTAAGTGTATAGGATATATGCTATTGAGTAAGTTGTGATTGAAGTCACAATAACTTTACTAAATTTGATAGCTAATCTTTAATGGTTCAATTTTTACTTTAATGGTTCAATTTTTAGGATAATTCGAACAATTTTACAAATAACTCGTTTGACAACAGTTTACTGAAGTTATTTGGGCAATGAGTTATTTCGAAATAACTCTTTTTATCACTATGCTTTTGCCAAATACCACACGCCAAATACCAGATTTGCATGGTTATACTAAACGAGATACTTTAATCCAATTACTACTGAATTAATACTAAAATATCAAATAAACAATTAATGGTGTCTTTTGGTTGCAAATATTGATATCACCATTTCTATTAGCTATAATACTTTACCAATTATGATTAATTACATAACAAGTTTGCAAGTCATACAAATTGATTTAACATTTTGACTAGTTTTTTTCAAAAAAATAAAGTATATATATGAGGTAGAAATAAATTGGTTAAAAAGTTGAGAAAATATTTTAAATTAGTGTAATAAAATGTGTAAGTTGGTAATGAGTAATAAGTTAAGTTACTTGATGCGCTGGCTCGAACAACCCGAAACCCGATCCGCCCGCAACCCGCCCGACCCAAAACCCGATGAACCCGCAACCCGATTTGCCCGCAACCCGATTGAACCCGAACCCGATGAACCCGCAACTCGACTAACCCACAACCCGTTTGTACCCGAACCCGAACCCAATAAACCCGCAACCCGACTAACCCGCAACCCGTTTGAACCCAAACCCGATTGAACCCAGCCCGAACCCGCCCAATTAACACCTATAGGTAAAACACATCAAGTCAGAAATTTTCATCACTAAAGTAAGTGAATAACAACCCTCGATTCTTTCCCCTGCTCGTGACTGCAACGAACGAGTTCTCCGTCCATGGAAGTTCCGATGGATGAGGAAACAAGCCCTAGATTCTTTGTGGCTGTCCACGTTGGGGCCGGGTATCACGCTCTTTCGAGTGAGAAATCTCTGAGGTCCGCCATGAAACGCGCTTGCATTGCTGCTGCTTCTCTACTACGCCAGGTCCGCCTCTTCTCTCATTGCCGCCCCCGGTCTCTAGTTACATACACATCGACAATCTCCTCTCTCTCGTTTTGACCGCATGAAAGAATTAGTATAAAGGTTTTCTCTTTCTAATTCTGCAGTTTGCTATAAGAAATCATAACTCCCCAGTCGTTCCGCTATTTGTTGTTTTGTTTTAGGGTTCTGGGAGTGGGAGATGTATCGATGCTACCACTGCAGCTATTAAAGTATTGGAGGTAGTTACTGCTTCTTTGTTTTCCTCATTTGTTTGTAGAATGTAATTGAAGCAAATGATTTGCTGAAGGTTTCTCATTGATTAGTATGTGATGGATGGATGATTATGTGATTTATAAGGATGATCCTTGTACAAATGCTGGCCGAGGTTCTAATCTGACGGAAGATGGCCGGGTAGAATGTGATGCCAGTATCATGGATGGTGATTCTGGCGCATTTGGGGCTGTTGGAGCAGTGCCAGGTAGTTTATTTGGCTGCCATTTCCTCAAAGGCTTTCAACTGTAGTGCTGCTAATGTTTTGCATGAAGTTACTTACTGAGTGGTAATATTTACTTAGTTGTAGACCAGGTGTGAGAAATGCCATAGAGATTGCCGCCTTACTGGCCAAGGAGCAGTTGACGGAGTGCTCATTGTTGGGTCGAATACCTCCCATGTAATTCTTACCTCTTTCTCTTCCTTCTCCTTTTTCTTGATATTTCGTGTGTTTATTTTTTCCTCAAATGAGATGTCATTGGGATACATGGATTATTCATCAAACGCTAGATTCTTATTTGAAGTATTCAAGACGGACCTTCCTATTAGATTATGGGAATCGTCTTGTTGTACATGTTTAGTTGAGTATGTGAGATACTAATTGTAGCTTGTATACCAAATGAAATGCCTACAATTAATGAAACGAATCGAATCGCTTAACTTAGGATTTTGTGACTGCTAGGTTTTTGGTTGGTGAAGGTGCCCGAGCCTGGGCTAGATCGAAGAACGTTCTTTTAGAAGACACTGTGGATGAAGCTGAGAAGGTTCTATTGGACTCTTTGCCCTTTCTACTTTTATCTGTACTGAAACATAAAATGTGAAAACAATTGACTTGTCTCTCGAAACAGTGGCTAGTAACGAAAAGGGCAAAAGTACAGTGGCAAAAGTTCAAAGAAATGCTGCGTACTGCCACCACTTTGACTGATGCAACCAGTGAAAAAGAGTCTGGATATGTATCAGGTATTCTATTCTATTGCTCTCGCCAGGATCTTCCAATAAATTGAAGCCTGAGCTCTAGCCGCTTACCATCTCCCAAAATTTTCATTGAATCGGCAGTTCCTGAGACAGTTAGTTCCGAAAGGCCAATCTGAATTATTTTGGCACTCTTATAATCAATTATCAGGCGTTGGTTAAGTAGTTGGCAAGTGATGCTAGTCATACAGTTCACTCGTCTGGCTTTTTAGATTCATCAGTAAATCTCTTTTGGATTTGTCAGTGTTTATTGATCCTTTTATCATCTTTATCGTTGTTTTGGGATAGGCCATACATTATTGAATACCCAGTATTCTGTTGATTGAAGTGGGATGACGCCTTCTCTGTTTTCCTGGACCAGGAGCCAATTCTGTGGACACTTCAGGGGTACCTGGGGGTGCCTCATCATCTGTTCCAACTTCTGAAGAAGACTCTGTAATGGACACTGTTGGGGTTATCTGTGTCGACAGTGAAGGGCACATAGCTTGTGGAGCTTCTAGTGGCGGTATAGCCCTCAAGGTACTAGATGGTGGCTATAATTTCATTTGATAACTTTTTCAATTTCTTAAAGGTGCAAATAATTGTACAAGTAGCAAAAAATTGATGATATCAGGTTGGAGGGCGCGTTGGTTTAGCTGCAATGTATGGCTCAGGTTGCTGGGCGTCATCGAAAGGTCCCTTTGGTTCTTCGTTCATAGCTGGCTGTTGTGTTTCGGGTGCTGGTGAATCCCTGATGAAAGGACTTGTGGCTCGGGAATGTTGTGTCTCCTCAGCAACGTATGGTTTTGACATTTGGATTTAGTCATTTGCTTATGCTAACTTGAAAAAGGAAGTGAGAATAGATGATTGTAATTATTATTCACATGCTAATGACTAATTAGGCATCCGTGGTAAAAGATATCCTGCATGAATGTGCATGTTAACCGAATTAAATTTTGATTTCAAACGAATTTCAGAAGAATTTGACTAGGTGTTGCTCTAAGAGACGAAGACAGAGTTAGGCAACTTCGATTTACGAGGGATAAAGTGCTATGATGGCTTTTGTTTATGTGCTTTCCATTACATATTTTAACTTTAATATAGAGACTTCGTCACATTAG